GAACTAAAAACTTTGAATGCTTATATCTTCTAAATGTGAATTTTGTCTCTGTTTTGGAGCACACTGCCTTATATATATAACCTTAAGACTAACATATTGGTACTAACATGGGGTCTTTAAGGCCATAAAAAGTTTTAAATGCATTAAATGGTATAAGAAATGTCTTAATTATAATTTCAAGAGGTCTTACAGTTGGGGACGGAAAGACAACAGTCGCGATACGGCTGGATTGAACTTCAGAAGGCAATAATGTCATTGAATAAATATGCGCGCTGCACATGTCAAGTCAAAACGCGGCACGTTTGTCTTTATTTGAATGTATCTGAAGGGAACCGAATGTCCTCAGAAACGTGTCGTTGGCATTTTAATTTTATGAGCACGGAGCTGCTTTGTGTACAGCCATTACCGGGGAAACCGCAATATTTCAGAGCTCCTAAAGCACCACCTCGTGGCAGAGAATGAATTTGCATTTCCAATAAGCCTTTCTTGCTGTTTATGGTCAGATCAATGCAAAAAATCTAAACAATTAAGTTTTAAATTACCAATTTATATGCTTGATTTATCCCTTTTCATAAAAATGAAGGCTGAAATGCTGTTGTATAAGATTTTAGTTTTTGTGAAAACGTGTATCTGAACTGTTAATCATTTATAGTAATTTTATGGCTCAGTACTGTATGTTACCACAGACATTGTCCAAGCCCACTCATACGGTGTTCATTTTACTTGTGCAGCACTTAAAATGGGTCATAAAGTGGGACATTTAAACTCCTATCTGATTTCACATTATATATATATATATATATATATATATTTAAGGATTAGGGAGTGTGCAATAACAGTACAGATGCTTTACTTGGCAAACACAACTAATAAAGCAGTTATGGAATAGCAAAAAAAGGCTAGACATACAAAAATGCAAGTCAAATTTTTAAGGATAGCCATCAAATTTCTAAGGAAAGTTATATAATAGAGCAATCGACATAAGAATACTTTGCCAATGATGTAATCTATGTGCTGGATTTATACAGATTATGTAATTAGCTGAGAAAATTGTCATAATTTTAAATATATACGTCAGAGTTCTTAATCGTATGTCCTGACACACTTTCAAACCATAAAATACATGAACTACACCCAGTTCAGCTTTGGGAATGGGCCAAATTTCCACATCCTGAATGAGGCTTTAATGTACGATTAAACTGACCCAAATTCAACAGCAGAAAAGTCCCTTTCTACAGAGAATAATAGACAAGCCTATATGCAAATGCGGTACCGAACCTTCACTAAGCCCACCCCCTGAGTTCCCAGGCCTTGCTTCCTGAGGCCCTGAGAGCACAAAAGTGGTCCATGCAGCCAAGGCCTTTTCATCGGTTACTGACATAGACTTGGTAGAGAATGCAGCCCCACAGCTATTTCACCTGATCATAGCTGCAAGGAGCTGGATGATCTGGTATTAAAACTAAAGTTGACAAACTGACAGAGTAAAGCCTCGTTCCAATTATTAATATTTGCAAGAACAATACAGTACTCAAGGCAACCAGACAAGTCTGATTAAACCAAAATGTATTTGCATACACAAAGTAAAGCTACAGTGTGCAAGTAGTGAATGTCCAACACATTTGAAATCGTCATCGGCAGTGACCAATGAGCTTCTACTCACACTGAGGAACTAACAAGCCACAGTCATATTCAAATATGATTCAAACCTCATATTTCACACATTACAAACGTAGATTGTTATCCTACACCAGTACACAGCTAATGTATTTTCAAATATTTTTGTTAATTTTTGGAAATCCCTACAGTTAAGTGAATGGAATTCACTGTTGTAATTACTGTGGATAGCTGTACAGGCATTTGTTGTTAACAAAGCAAACCCTTTTCTGTGAATTTTGCACACTCTCACCAAACTTACTTACTCCCAGAATGGACGTTTGGGGGCAGAGCATGGAAAAGAAATAGAAGCCATTCACATTATTAGAAGTCAATGTATCATCTACAGTGTTTCCTACAGACTTACACTCTATGTGTGGCGGCACATCCCCGGGGGGGAAATAAATATACTATATACACATGTATATGCAAATTCATTCTCTGCCAGTAGGAGGCACTTTTAGAATGGGTGAAATAGAGGTTTCCCCAGTAACGGCAGTACACAAAGCAGCACCGCACTCATAAACACTGCTTTATCACGCATTACATGCAAGATGAAATGAAAATGACATCGAAAATTTTCTGAAGACACACGGTTTCCGATATAAAAACACCTGTGCCACGTTTTGATTTTGAAACGTGCAGTGCTTATGTTTATTCAACGAAGTCAAAGCCTTTTGGAAAATCTATTTGTGGTGGTCAGTTTTGATATTGTGGCAACCCACCACAAATAAAACAATGTATGGGAAACACTGATATAGGGATGTCACGAGAACCGATACTATGGTACAGAGTTGGTATAAACATTTTAAAATCCTGCCGGTACTTGTTTTTCTTCAATAGCGTAAGTACCGATGGTACTGAAGGTAGCCACTAGCAAGGCTGCAATTCTTCTGGAACTGACAGATGGAGGTGGAGCATACTCCTAGAAGTGTTTCAGTCAGTCCTCAAAGGGTAAAGAAAAAGAAAAAAACACCTACAAGCACAGAAGAACTAAACGTGGAAGATGGTGATGATATATAAATAGGATTGTGTGAGATTTAAATGAGAGCGCGCAGCTCTGAAAGCATGAGCACTGCGCATGATCACACACACATAAAGTTACGGTCTGTCTGACAGCTTACAGCTTGTTCATTCATTGTGTATCCGTCTGCAGATTATCCCTATTAACATTATTGGCTAATATTACTGGTTTAAATCAATTTTGTTTATGTTAATGGTTTTAAAAAATATATATTTTCGGCCTGCCAGTATGTCAGTAAATGTAAACAAATGCTTGCATTCAGAGTGTGTGTGTGTGTGTGTGTGTGGGTGAGAGAGAGAGAGAGAGTGCATGCGTGTTTGTGTGTATTATTTGAAGGCCAAGTGCCACTAATATTTTGTTTTTGTAATGTTAAATAAAGGAGTTACTGTTTAAGTATTATTGTTATTTTTTACCTTTGGTATCGACTATCGGTATTGAGTATCGTGTACTTTTAGTGGTATCGGTACCGACTACTAGATTTTTGGTATCGTGACATACCTAGTATCATCAGAATGATTTTGAGCATAAGAAACAACATTTATGCGTCAGTTCCTGTCAGATTTTGTTGCTGATTTTAAGTATGTGGTGAGCCTTTCATTATGTTCTTGTTTTTTCTCAGGATTTCCTCATTCAAGCAGACAGCACTTGGTCTTGCATGCCTGAAATAACTGCCCAGAGGCATTGCAAATATGGCCACCGAGTGAACAGACTTTCCTTGATAGAGACTCAATTCAATCATTTCTGTACCTGAATACTAAACCTAAATGAAAAAATGTAAAAGCACTCTTTATTTAATTTGTATCTTTGTCATATTGTTTGCACTATGCTTCTGTGTTCTCATTTTTAATAACAAAAACAAATGGATGATGGCATTGTCTATCGGCCCAACCCTATTACATAGGCCTAATCAAATTTTTTAAAAAAAGTATTTATTTATTCATTTACTTGTAGATTATATCATTGGGCGGCGTTATGCAAATCTTCCCAGATAGTGACGTAGACATGTGGGGGCGTGTTAGAACGAGCCGTTTTAGGTAGGTGTGGCTGACTCTTAACTTTTATAAAGAATATCTCTTTGGATTTGAGAGACTTTAGTCTTTGTAAATTTACAGATCTTCTTTATGCACCAAGAGCTTGTAACACTCCAAAGAGAAAGGAAAAATTGAAATCGCATCATATGACCCCTTTAAAAAACAAGTTTTCCACTGATTGTCACTCAAAATATCTGTGTAATCTGATGGAGTACTTTTTGCATGCAACATTTAAGTACATATTTCACTATATTGCTACTAACATATGATTTCTGGTCTCTTTTCGAGGGTTCTAAAAATAACAAAAGATATTTTGCCTATGTGCTGCCTTTGAGTTCACAGTGAACTGCTCAATACAACCTGGCAGAAGTGCCGAGTGCACATGCAACCAGCAAAGATGGCAGACTTTCTAATCGTGTACTTCACTAGGTATCTGCGCCAGTTAGTAAATGTCACTGGGATTCACAGGGATGCTAATGGACAGCTTTCTCCAAATATTATATAGACCTTGATATGGAGTTGGCACCAGATCGTCGACAGGAATTTTATAAGACAGCATTCATACTGTTATGCAACATGCCCTATCGTGCTCATGCTCAAGATATCTCCAGCTTTGCTCAGAAATATTCATACATAACCAAACAAATACTTAAGACTTACAAGGTAACTACTGCACATGGTGACTTCTATCTATTTAATGAAACCCATCAAAGTTAATCAAGTCAGAAAACTGAGCAATGATCACCTTTGGATTATCTATGCATATACTGCCAATTACCAAATCAACTAAAAAATATGTAACCAATTATTACACGCTGCTTGTCATAAACCTGGTGTTAGAGGCAGAGATCAGTAGACACGACTTTAATCTTGGCTTTACGTCAAATTTATGAATTCGCGTGGAGCATTGTCAAAAATGGCGACCAGTGGTGGACACGAGGAAATAAAATAACTCCAAAACCTCAAACGTATACGATGCGCTATGCAAAACGTTTAAACAACGTTAGCTCCAAACTATTTTCGGGGGGGGGGAGGAAACGAATTACTAGTCATATTTTGGAGTCCAAATGCTTTTGGCCTACTGATGTCCTAGTTTAATGCGATATTAAACTTGCTGCATTTAATTGTTAAACCAAAACAAAGCTTCCTGACAAATCAGCCTGTTCCAGTAGAAAGCATTAAATATTTAATTTTACAGCACTGCTGTTTTAAAATGCCCTGTCATTTATTAATCGCAATGCCCTTTCACGTGCTCCCGTTTGACAGATGATGCTGCGGATCGCTCAACTCACCTGCATGGAATCGGCACTTATAATTTCCCCATTAAGCCTTTTCCCGATCTCGATAGCCAGTTTGGATTTGCCCGTTCCCGTAGCTCCTAAAATCACCACTATAGACGGGCTGATGCCTTCCTGGAGCACACGCGTGGCGGCCGCCATGACAGCAACTTCTCAGGGCTGTAGAATGATCTGAGCATGCGCGGTGATTTCGCAACGGAGGCGGGAACTGTATCCAAGCAACTAAAACTGTTTCCATAGGAACGGGATTGAAGGATTCAATTTGAGAATGTTGAAAATGTACGGGAAGCTAAGGGTGTTTCATTCAGAAATAGGACAAAAGTTCAACAATCGAACAAAAAGTGCTTGGAAAACAGGAATTGTAATATATATGGACAATAAATTGGCACTGCTTGTTGCAAACATGGAAGAATCTAGTAAATATGTTTAAATATTTTTAATCAAAAAAATCAAATATTTGATTTGTATCAGTTATCTATTTTAGTTTTAGTTACAGTTGTAGTAATGTTGTCATTTTATTAGTTTTTTATTATGTCTATATAGGTTTTTTATTAAGTTTTAGTTTTATTTTTTGGTGTTTGGCTTAGTGTTCTGTTAGAATCATTATTATACTCATACCTTTTGCTCTTTTAATATTTTGAATTGTTTTTAGCTTTATTTTTATTTTTTATTTTAATTTAAATGTTTAGTTTTTAAATGTTGTATGCATTTGTCATTTTTATTTAATTTCTTTTATTTTCTTAAATGTGTATATATATAGTATTTATAGAGTTTTAGCTTTTAGTTTTAATTACTTTTTCTTATTTGTAAGTCGCTTTGGATAAAAGCGTCTGCTAAATGACTAAAAGTAAAAGTAAAGTAAATCCTGTTAGCTCTAATAACATTGTGCTAGCAGTGCTGGGTAGTAACTGATTACGTTACATGTATAATTGACATAAAATGTATTAATTTATTTATTCATTCATTCGTTTAGATTATATTACATTTTAAAATATTCATAATCAGGTTACAGTTACTTTTTATGGATTGCATGATTACATGTTATTCACACAATGGCAGTAAATCATTCATAATTTATCGATTGACCCCTGATTCTCTCTAAAAATCATACCGTTTAGCTTTCACTATATTCACAATATAAAATGGTTGTGTACATATCATGTAAATACATTTGCAAACCATGCTTTTAAATTTGGTTGAAAAAAAAGCAAACTCCTTTGACATGACATATTTATTTCAATAATTTAACAAAACATTTTCATGTTTGCAGTTCGATGTGCTAAATGGTCGCATTGAATGCAGGTAAACAAATTAAATATTTCTATTTTTAGTGTTCGAATGTTTAATTTATTTTACATTTGTATGGCTTTTTATCAACTCACAAAACCACTGCAGTTCTTCAATTAAGCCCAGTTTGGCAAATCCTGGTTTAATGAATTTAATAATGTTGATATAAAAAAATGAGTTATATTTGCTTTTTTATATCAAATTTTTCATTTCATTGTAAGTTTAACAAAAAGTAATCTAAAAAGTAGTCAGAAAACTACTTAAACTAACTACAGTTTTCATAATGTAATCTATAATCAGTAATGGACTACAATTTGTAAGTAATCTACACAGCTCTGTTGGCACAGTTTTTAATGAATTTTTTGCTTTGACAACACTGTTGACTTTAGCAGGTCGACTTGTGCACCTTCCGGAAGAACACGGGTATGAATAGCTCTTCTGTCTCCATGGCAACTGAGCGTTCTGCACCAAGGAAAAGGGATATGATGTTGCCATGGCAAAGAAGGCCACTACGACGTGTCAACTAAAAGTGGCTCTCGCTAATGAAACATTCTAATCGAGTTCACACACACTCGTACAGGTGTTGATGGAGTGAAATAGTCCTTATAGTAAAACCTTGCCCTATTTTCTGGCATAACCGAGCCAGGATAATACTGTTTAAACAGTTATGCTGCATTTCATAACCAGCCATTGCCCCTCTAATCCAGATATTACTTAAGAACTGTCAAAAATCTTAAAGGGACAGTTCACCCAAATGCGATCATCATTATTTTCTAACAGCAGATCAAGAAGCTACGGGACAGCATGACCTCGTAGCTGAATTAAAAGAACATAAATGTACACTCTAAAAAATGCTGGGTTAAATACAACCCAGTGCTGGGTAAAATAGGGACAAACCCAGCAATTGGGTTGT